CTTTTTTTTTGTGTGTTTACTGGAATCGTACCGGTGCTGATAAGTGAGAACATGATCATCCTGGCTAGGTGTGAGCACATCAGTCAGTTTTTTTCATGAGCGTTCTTCAAAAAGCTTAAGAATGATATAAAAATGATTCATGTTTGAATTCAGTCTGAACACTTCGTCACTCTGAACTGGAAACTCTTGTTCAAAACTATTCCAAACAGTTCTGTGAAAGAGAAATTATCCAGCAGATATTCCTTACTCTATCTACCATGGGGTGATTTGTTACAGCAAAATGAAACTGTCCAGCAGTAATAATTTCAGAAAAGAAATCCTCTTCATCGGTGCAATGAGAATGTGGTCTTTATAATTTATTACAGCAGCACCAAAGAAACCTATTGCATGCACCTAACTCTTCGAGCTGGAGAGATTTCCTACAGCTTTTGTTCCCTTCCCTCTTGCAGGAGATTAGCCTGGCCCAGACATACCAGCAGTGCTCCTCCACACCTAGCTCCCAGTGAGCAGCAGGGGCTGTGTTACTGGCTCAGAGACACACAAAGCAAACAGAATGGCTTATTTTTCCTATATTTATGGCTGCTGGCTCTAGCAGTGTCCATAAGTGCTCCCCAGTAGGGGTGAATCCCAGTAGGGGGGTTCAAAACTGGCCTCCAGAGAGAGCCTCTTTCTGCCTTAAGTAGCTTATTAAAGTATAAATCTCTTTCCAGATAGACTAGGTTGACCCTTGCAGTGTGTTTCCTGTGGAATAGTTCACATCATAGCTCATAGTGATATTTTTGTTTGCCCGTAGGGATGAATGTGTTGTTGCAATCCTTTAGTTTGCAGTGTGCTCGGAAGAGAAAGGTCTTTCATGTATTTCTGCTTCGTTGCTCTCCGAAAATTATCAGTTTTCTGCTTTAATTAAAGGCTCACGTAGCTAAACTTAATAAGTATGTTAGCAATATTTCTTACAGCTTTGTCTGGGTAAACATATATATTTTCCATTACAGGAACGATTCGAAAAATAAAGCTCTTTAACTGCTGGTTTTGATTCAAAGGATCTGAAACACATTTTGGGACCGGTGAGCTTTACGAAGGGCTGCAGTGCATTCAAAACAATTCATAGTAGCCTTTCCATTGCAATATTCCTTATTTTCTTCATGATGCCAACATCCAAAATCCTTCACTTGACAGGCTGCCCTTCATCTCACACAGCCAAGGAAAGCTGATGTGCATCCCTCCAGCACATGCCACAAACGTGAAAGAGAAAGGAGCTGTGTGCCCTAAGCCAGTCTGCCCTTGTACATCCTCGCTTGGCCCCAAGTATTCAGAAATATTCCAAGAAAGCTCTCCTGCAGCAAGGTCAGGGCAATGGCACATAGGGATGCTGTCACAGGTCATTGAGGGGGTTGCTGTAGACTTGAAAAGAAAGCAAGCCCCGCTTGGAGGGAGGCAGGAGGCAAAAAGCATCTTCCTTCGTGCTGGGATGGGGCAGTGCAGCTGCACATGGGTAGAACAGATGTGGAAGTACCAAAATCAAGGTAGAAATAATCCCACCTCCACTCATACACTGTCCTTGAAATTGTAGCTGGGTTATTACTGTGATGAAATGGACTTTCTGCTTCTTACTGTGTTTATTAGGCTGATGGTGTATGATCTATTATGTTCTTAATGATTTTCTTGCTCATAAGTATCTGGATTTTTGTAAGTGATGAGATCGGGCAGCGTAATACTGTCACTTAGGATCCTTAACTGAAGTGAAGGGCTTGGCTTTTTAATACAATTTATATTTATGAGAAACTAATATAAGATGGTTCTACATTTTCAAAGTACTATAACTAATATAAGATCATGAAAATAGTGATGGTCAAATTTGTCAGGATTTGGTCAGAAATTATGCAAGCAGAAACTGAACAGCTGTAGGACTTGGATCCTAATTCTGCAAAATACTTCAGTATTGACTTAATTTTGTGGGCAGGGCTGTTGTCCTGTGTTTAGTCCCAAAGTCTGAAGAAAGTTACTGAGCGTTGATCAAGGGTACAAGTACCTAAGATGCTGTGTTCTGTAAAACACAGCATCTGGTTGTGAAGTTTCGTAATGAAGTCATTCAAAAGTAAGTGGTTTGCAAGAAAACAAATCCATTTAAATCCTTAGTATTCTTTTTTTTTTTAATTTCATAACAATTTCAACTTCATAGAACTGAAGGCTCTGCATGTGTATAGCGATGTTTTTATTCTTTCATTCCGGTTCAAGAAAAATACAAAAGAAACAATATTTGAATCCCTACTTCAAATTGCTCACTGGCAAGTAAGTTTTCCCTGGTATAAATCAAGGTATTGTCAGAATTCACTTTTCTCAAATGTCAAGGTCAGCTAGAGGTTTGTAAAATTGTTCATGCCAAGAGAAACTAACGAACCAGTTAAGAGACTGATAGAGAAGTTTGGCTCTGAATATGTTGGTTAATCACCTGAGAGCCCACTAAATATGATTTTGATTACTTTCTTGACTTTATTTCTGTGTTTAATTTGAATAAATGTGAGTCACACAAAATAATTTTGCTACGAGACACGTCTCCGAGTCCTCTTGGAACCTTTTTTAGTTTTATGTTAAATATAGACTAACTAGCGTGCAGAATAATCACAGCAGTTGCTACACAGGTATTTTACACACATTGATATAGATGCAGCATAAAATTGGAATACACACTGTACTTTAAGCTACTCAAGTGAATGGATAGCTCCAGGTGGACTTTGAAAATGTTATGAGGTGACCGTTTTCCGAAGATTAGCACCCAAAATGCTGCCATAGCTCTTAAAACTTCACTCCCACATGTGTTGGCATTGAGAGGAATGTGGGTTCAGTCAAGGGCACCCATGGAAACTTCATCAACTCAGAGCTTTGTAGATCCAACAGACCCTCGTGTGGGGCAAGGAGCAGGCAACATTGTTGGTAAAAGCAGGGTCCTCTCCAGAGCCTGGAATATCTGAGGGCTCTTTCCTTGGCTCACTCAGTCTCCCAGCTTTATTTTCAGTTCTCTGTAATCACCTTGAAGTGTCTTCTTGAGTTGTTTGAACTTCACTGACTTACTGGAGAGGTAACACAAGATCTGCAAAGGCTGTTTTCCTGATGAAAACCTTAAAGACTGGGCTGTTTCCTCTCCTGCTGTACCACACTCCAATCCTCTCAATTTTCACTAGCGCACAGCAAAATCACAGGCTCTGTTTTCAGCGCCACGCTCCCCTTGCCAGCTCATGAAAAAAAAAATTCCCTTTTCCTCTTCCAAATCCAGCTTTATTCCTCCCTTCTCAGGAAGGGGAATTGAGGTTTTAAGTCAGTAGCCTTGTACATCTACTATGAAGGGATGGCAGAGGCAAGTGGCGTAATGCTGTTGGCAACTCAAATACACTCCTCCCAGAGCAAGCCTCTGGCACTGCTTTTCCCACTCCGTGGATGGAGGTGCTGAAGTTTTCCAGAAGTACTTAAATTTCCACTGACTGCAGTAGCCCAGACTGCCAGGCCATTCAAAGCCTTGCAAAAGGAATCATTTAAATAAACACGCAATCTGACCTCCCAGAGGAGGGCTGATAATTAAGCACTAATTTGAGCAACATTTTAAAAGCCATTATGGATTTTATTTGCAGATCAGCAACTGCTTAAATGGATGGCTTTAGGGCATGAGAGTTGTGCTCATCATTTTTAAATGCATAAGATGTTTTCCTTGGGCAGCTGTGCTTGGACACTTCTTGGTTGCATTTTGGAGAGCTGAAGGAGTAACAGGTTCAATGCAAGCATGGTTTTGCAACACGGATATATTTTAATCAGGGCTCAATTGCTGACAGTGTAATGAAACGTGCAGATTTCTCATTTCTTTCACTCATCAGGAATGTAACTGGTGAAATTGAAACAGATAATTAGACCTTACAGCAAAACAAAAGAACTTCTGGTAGAAAAGCAAGTGGAGCCCATTTCCCAGTGACATTCTGCTGTATCCCACAACTCTGCTTGATGCCTTAGATATATATAAAAAAAAACTAACAACAACAAAACAGGACTGAAAAAAATGTGGCTGAGTTCCTGAGAGCCCTGAGCGCCGTTGCCTGCAAGTGATGAACTGCCTGATTTGTGCAGTGCTAGCAAGAACGCTCGGGGAAGAGTTAGCATCCGAAGGAAAACACAATAACACTTTAAATCTTGGCCTTGGCTAAGTGGCAGCCTGCATTAATATATAATGGTATGGGCTAAATCAAGCACCATAAATATAGAGGACTAGCTAATGTTGGCTCCACGTGGATCCAGAGCAACTGAAATATTTTCTACTGGGAAAAAGCCCGAACGGAAGAAGCCAGCTTGGTCCTGGAAGACACACAACACCTGCTTATATAAATACAAACTACTGGCTTTTGCCTAGAATAAAATGTGTCTCGATTATTTTCAAATTACTCTATAATTATGATAGAAAAAATGAAGAGGAGTGTGTCTGTATTATACTGGACATCTATAAACTCTGAGTCAGGCAAGGCTACAGCTGGTGCTGTACTTTCCCGTGTTTTGAAGTTAGGAGCGCAGATTTTGGGGCTATCAGTAATTTCCATTAGTGAGTCATCCTCTTCATCTTCAGCACTTTTTGGCAGTGATGGTGATGCTGAGACTGAGCACCATGCACGGTCATGTGTTAAGCAGGAGGGCAGGAGCCTGAGCGTGGGTTTGTACCTGAGCTCTGCATTCAGCCGGACCTAGAGCTTGTGGTAAGCTGTGCGGAGGTTACCACAAGCACTTCTCTTGTGTGCACAGGTTGGATTACACGCTCGACAACACGTGCAAGAGCGTGTGATGTTTTCTTGCTGATAAAGGGATGGTTGGACAAACAGTCCCCAGCGATGACCCACTGCGGAAACCCCAAGGAAAGGGGATTACTGGATGGAAAAAGCACGTGCAAGATCAAACAGGCACGTATCGCGTGGCTTGGTACAAGATGTTACACCGCATCTGCTGAGCAAGGGCTGGGGTTATGGGGCAGCTCCAGTCTCTGTGGGAAAGGTGCAGACCATGCGAGACAACCGAATTTTCTGCAAACATTGAAGCATAACATTGGTATTAACCTCTGTCAGGCTCCCAAATACACCCAGGTTGCCTGCCTCTTCCTGGCTAGCAGGGAGTGACTCACGCCGTGACCCAATTTGGCCTATTTGGGACCCAGCCAATTCCCCAGCTGCCTGCTGTTGAAGTAGCTCTGCTCGAGCAGCGGCAGCTGGGAGCCTGGGTAGTTGTTGAGGAATGCGTGCTGGGCTGCAGTCCCTCTTTCTAGGGCGTGCTGCTTGTGCTGGCTGCTCTGCCCTACCCCGTTTTAGTGGTATTTGGGGACTCCTGGCTCTCCAGATGATCTGGGGTGCTGTAAGCTTGTGATTTGTCACCCTTCAGCACAGCGCCTCCAGACTAGCTCAGCTGACAGCATCCAGCCAGTGGAGCCTATGGAGAGGGAGAGGATGAGATCTGTCTCCAAAAATACACGTGGCCCAAGGTGGGAAGTGTTGCAGAAAGCCTGGTTCATGGTGGTTGAGCTCAGGGTGTGCAAGCTGTGTCTCTCCAGCAGTTTCTGGGAGCTGGCCTCAGGGATCCAGGAGCTCATTGTGCTCCTCCCCAGGGCAGCTGGGCTGGTGCCTGCCACAGCCTTAGGGTGGGCTCCAGCCCCCATCTGTGCTGGGGGGGCTTCTGTGCCCTCTCTGCCTGCCCAGGGCGGGTTCTCAACTTTTTCTCTGTGGGAGGGTGCTGTCACAAGCCCTGAGAAGCCTTCCTGTTATCACCCTCTCTGGCTGTATGTCTGGAGTGATTTCAGTTGCAAGAGAGAAACAGTTGAGATCTTGGAGCTTAATTCAAGATTTTCATCCAGAAGTAATGAGGTAATTATCCTTCTAAATCTGTGTGTTGTGACGAGGCAGAAAACAATTTAGAGTCAAGTAGGGGTCATTGACTTGCTTTATTCTTGTTCCAGAATGCCAAAATGTAAATGATTACACTAACAGTGTGTCAAGGTTGTCAGTAAGCATGGAAACATGTCATGTATCTGTCCTGCCTGGAATGAAGACTTCACTTCTGTGTGCTCGGAATTCAGCATGTTAAAAAGCAGTAGGCAGGATGAAAAGGAAATAGCAGCTCCTTGCATTGTCCAGTGTCCTCTGGCTGAAAACAGTTTCCTTTACTACCAGTATCCTTAGTAACAACAACAAAAAAAAAGAAGCTGTGCAGGTAAGCATGCAATTGGGAGTTGGTTTTGCACCAGTAGGAGGTGGGCTTTAGGCCAATTGTGGCTGCTGTGCCTTGGCACCAGGGCCAAGGTGGCACTTGTGAAGCTACCCCAGAGGAGCACCAGTGCTGGGAAGTCCATGAGGACCGTGGGCCAGGGCCTGGGTCTTGCTTCTGAGGTTGCTTTCTCTCATTTCAATAGCTCTTCCTGCAAAAATGAAGTTAACTAGACTTTCCCTACTACATACCTGCAGTGAGAAAGCATCTGTAGAGATGCCAAGAAGAATCTGGGAGAAAATTGAAATGTGTGCTATTTTTTCCTCCCTGTTTTCCAATAGATGGAGGCATTCTTCATCTAGCACTATAAACTGCTAAGCCTCCAGGTCATAAACAAGAGGAATAGTTTAAATAATAAAATGCTGGGAGGGACGTGCGTGTCAGCACCTGGAAGCTGTGCGGGCTTGGCAATAGCTCTTTTCGATCAGACATCTCCATTGAGCTCCTGAGCCTCCCTGCAGCGTGCAGGTAGCAAATTGGTACTGATGGCAGCTTAATGAGCCCGGCCAGGAGAAACCGATGCCTGCCATCGCAGCTGAGAACAAATCAATTAATGGGGCTGGCCTGGGGAGAAGCAGGTGCTGTAGGGTGGGCAGCCTGGGTTGTGCTGTTCTCTGCTTGCCCCATCCGCTTCTGGGGCCCCTGTATGCTCTGTCCCATGGTGGGCACAGGGAAGGGCTGCTTCTGCCTCCTGCAGCAGCCCTGGAGAAGGTGTGAGGCTGGGGAGAGATTGCAGCAAGGCAGGTGAGCTGGTGGAGAAAGGGGAAAGGCCGTGTGAAGAAAATGAGGATGTATTTGTGCCTATAAAATATGATATGGTTGGCTGTGAAGCAGCTAAACCTGGGAGAGGATCAGAAGGATCAAGAAAAAAAAGGCGTATAATATCACTTGCCTTGCCATGGAAACACAGGGTGTGTGTTTGTTTTCTCTCCACAGTGGTGCTATTTATTTGGGAAGTTACATGGGTGGCTGCAAAGAATTTCTTCCCATGCGCCTGTCTAGGGGAGGCTTGTGAATGCCCATGGAAATAACCTTCCTGTCTTGTTGATTTGACAGTTGTGTATCTGAGGCTTTTCAGGACTCATAATGGACAAAACATACCAAACCATGGAAACAAATTTTACTAAGTCCCAAGGTCGAGTCGAAGTGCTACTGCAGTTTGCACCGAGCTGTTGCTCTGGTTTTACAAGCAATTGCCCCCTGATACCTAGAGCCTCTCCTTTGCTTTCATCCAGAGCAGATGCCGCTCCCTCAGGGTGCAGGGAGAGGAGACTGCAACTATAACCTCAAGGCCAAAGTCCTCCACAAGCAAATTTTCAAGCTCCAGGGTGTAATGATTTAACCCTTAATGTACTTATTGTGACTTAGGGCTTTTTGCTATGCCCCATAGCAGGAGCTGTCAGGCTTGGACAAGCACAGTGAACTGGATATCAGTGAGCAGGGGTGTCGGGGATGGGGTAGCACTAGCTTAGAGGTATTCTGTTTCTGGAGCTAAATCTTCTGCTCCTGTACTCTCAAATGAGCAGAGTACTGATTCACAGCCCTGTGTCATCCACAGCTACTTTTCATGCTGCGATCAGAAGGAGAGTGGGCAGAGGTTCAGGGCTTCACAACCAGGCTTTGCTTTAGAGATGCAGTCTCTTATTTAGACAAGGAACTGAGAACCAGAACCCAAAAATAAACAGCTTTTATCCTTTCATGTCTTTGCAGCTCAGATTTTTTTTTCTCCTCCAAAACAAACGTTCTCTCCTACATGTAAACACTGACATGTCTTTCAATAAATTTCCAGCAGAGGTTTGAAATAGCTGTCTTTGTAGAAAGCCACATTAATTGAATAATTTCTGCTTTTGACAGGAATTTGAAGATAGAAACTTGTCTGTGAGCAGAGTACCCACGGTTTTGAAGTAATAAATCAGTACTTCGAGGAACTAAAATCTCAAGAGTTCATTCTTTTTAGTGCTCCATTTATGTTCCAGTTCATATTTATACTGCAAACGACAGGTTTGTGCTTAAGGAATGTGCAAGTTGTATTTGTGTATGGGAAAGCATCGACACTTAGGAGAGAGCAAGTAGGAAATGCAACCCTGAGCCCCAGGGAAGCAAAGTTTGAAGGAATGTTTTAGAGTTGGGTATGTGTTCAATCATAACTGTTTTGCAAATCAAAATACCCAGAAAAGCTTCAGTTTAAGACGGAGCTGGTTGTTGTTTGGCACATCAGTCAAAGCCACCCACTTATACCTGGCTGAAGCTACGTGGTTCAGTTACAGCTCCACAGAAATGTGGGCCAAGTGGATCAGCCACCGAACTGTTCTGGGGAAGGCTTTTGGCTGTAAGGGCTTTGTCTTCCCCAGTGTATGCGAGGTGTGTGGCCACTCCAGGCTTCTTAGGCTAAGCCTGCCTAGTCCCAGCAGTTATTCTGATTTTTATGTTTGGGGAATTTTGTAAACAAACAAACAAACAAACAAAAAATCTTCCCTGTGATGTTACATTGTGAAGCATGCTGATCTGCTTTTTGTTTTATAAGATTAAAATATCCTCTATATCTCTTTTCATATTTCCTTCAAGTCAGGCTGGAATTCCCAAGCTTCTCTTTCCCTCTCTCGCTGTTGTAACCAAAAAGAATTAAATTTTGTCCAGTCTAACAACCGTGACCTTTTCAATCTCATGCGCTTGTATTGAATTTCATCTGAGCTAGGGACTTTTCTTCCGGCATCCAGAAAAATCTCTTTGCCCTACAAATAACTTTCACAAATGCAGAAGCCGGTCACTAATCAGAAGGGAGAAATGCCTGGAGCTTTGAGACTCGCTGTTCAGCTGATGGCTGTCCACACGTGCACTGCTGCTAAGGGTGTCTGGAAGGAGGTTGTATGCAACCAGTCCCTTCTGACACAGGGATGTCTGGGGCAGGGAGGGGATCTGATCAGTGGAGGTTGAGCAGCACTTAATTTGTTCCTATTGTTCTTTCAGCAGAGGCACCAGGCACTGTGATCAAACACCGGGCTGCTGGACTGAGATGAAAGGTGTCTGCTTCTAATGTCGTTGGCTAACAACGCGGCTCCTCGTGGTGGAGCAAAGTCCCCTGACCCAGGGGTGAAGGTGAGGAGATGCCCTTGAGTCCTTTGTCACCAGGTGTCCTCGGGCAGGATGTGGAGCACACCCTGCAGTGAGCCCATAAGGATGGAGCAGGGGCTGCCTCCGCTCTGGTCTGGAAGCGAGGTGTTTGCTGCAGAGCCTGAATTGTACCAGGGTGAGAGAAGGAGCTAATATAGTGCTCGGCTGGTGGGCAGCTAGTCTGGCAGGGGGAAATAAAGGCAGCAGAGATGCCCCCTCTGTCCTAAGCAGGATGGGATGCTCAGTGTTTATATTTTTTGTGAGTTTGTAGCCTCACGCAGCAAAAATGACTAGTTCTCGTGAGAAGCGAGCCATATGTTGCTGCATATGGCTGAAACATCTGCATACATACCCAGGGATCTGATAGATGTGGGCAGCTTCTGTTACAAATCTAGCAGTGAAGGAATTATCTTTTGGATTTATCCATTTATTTATTTATTTTTAATCTCCAAGGCCTTAATAATATAGTGGGTAAAGCTCTTTCAGGGAAGTTGTTCTCCTGGCTTTGTCTTGATGGGATTTCATGAAACCTGCAGTGAGAAGTGCATATGGAAGGTACTGACAGCTGTTTGTCCAGGAGCTACCAGTGCTCCAGCCACCTCTAGGGATGTTTGAAGGCTGAATGAATTGTCCAAAGCTCTTCCATAAACTGCTATTACCAAGCAAGCAGCAAAAAGGAAGCAATAGATAGGACACAACCTAAAATCATTCAATCTAACATATTTTTGCATCTTCCATCATCATTTTTGTCTAAGGCTGATTCCCATGATATATTATTTCTTTATATTTTACTGCAGCGCACAGTGCATCCGGTGGTTATATTGTTGAAGTAAGGAGTTTGATAGGATTACAAAAGAGGTGAACAAAAAAATATCTGTAGTCATAGTAGCTCAGATGCATTGGGATAAAGCCGGCTGCTCCTTGTGCTCAGAGATGTCCACTGACAGTGCAGGACTCTTGGAGACATGGCAGCAGAGGATCTGTTGTTTGTAGGTGGAAGTTTTTCTGTTTTTGTCAAAGTTATGGGGTTTTCATGAAGGAATTTATAAGGGACCAGAGATACTGATTCTTGTTGTGTTCATACAGTACCCAGTGCAAGGCAATACCTCATCGTGGCAAATGGTAAGGGTAAATACCACAAATCAGTGAATGAAGTGATGTTTATGTGGTTCGCAGCTGAGGTAGGCAGAAGGAGCTCCTGAGGAGCCCTATCACGGAGATCTGAATCATGAAGTGCTTTTTCTAAGCACGTAGAAATGCAAGAAGACTGACCTCCTTCAGTTGTATTTGTGGTGCAAAATTCTCGATCACGTGTAAATTCCCCCAAACTTTTAAGCAGATGGTAGCTTTAGGCAGATGGTGGAGGTGGATAGGGGGTGAAGAGATGGAAAATCATCTGACAAAGCAAACGAAGGAACTGATTAAACTAGCTCTCAAATATAAACATATTCCAGGCAGCGTTCTGTAAACCTCCTTTCATCATCCTACGGAGGGTGGACTACTGATGGGGTGAGGCATATGGAAGGTGGGGGAAGGTGAATCACCGCGCTTCGTTCACGGCTTGTGCTGCTGCTTCTTCACCTGCATCCTCCCAGTTCCCACATGCAAGAAAAGGGGGTGATAACACACGTGGACCTAGGGGGAATGTCTAAAGGTGGGTGCCCACAGTGTGCTGTTACTTTCTCTAGCCTACAAAAGGGCCACCTGGCAAAAAGCTGGTGGTGCATGAGGGCAAGGCTGCGTTTCTGCTGCTCCGGGAGGCTGCACAGCTACCTCCTGAACAGCACTTCTGCAAAAGTGTTGAAGGCACGTGTCTGTGCCATTTTAATGCTCCAGCAGAGCTCCTCAGCGTTACGCCTGACAGGGGAATGATTGAATGTATTTCAGCACATCAGAGAGTTGACTACCCATACAGGCATCGCACCCAAACCTCTCCAACTCACTGTATTGTTTCAAGACAGCTATAATTAGGTATAATAACTGCAATCAGAATTAAATCTCCTCATAATGGAGATATTTGCTTCTTAATTCAGAATTAAAATAGTCTATTTCAGTATTGGATAAACACTTCAGAGAAATCAAAGAGAAATATATTGTACAAACATTTGATTTGTGGATGGTCTTGGGTGGAAACTACTGGGGGGAAGAGAAAGGAGCCCAGATTGAAGCCCTGTGCTTCAGAACAACACGAGCTAGGAAATAATGTCATCTGTTTATTCAGCGTTGCTTGTAACCTGCTATTATGTGTAAGAGAACATATGATTCCTGCAGAAGGTTTCTTGGATGGCAGAAATTCCTAAATACTATTTTAATTATCTTGTGCCAATAGCTTAGCATTTGTGGAAGGTATCATCTAATTAAACTAGAATTTTTAAGTACCAGACAGCCTGAAGACCAGTAATAAGAAACCAAGATCTGTCTGTATTGCAGATGGGATGTGCTACTCTAATAGTGTGGCTTTAGGCAATATTTAATTGAGTAGTTAAAATATCTTTTCCAGGCGGGAAAATAAGTTACCGCTCATCTCTCCAATTTATTTTAGCTACACATTGTTTACTGAGGGAGTGGCGAGGGAGTGTAGGGCTTCCCCAGATATGTCCAGGATGATTTGTTCTCCCTGTACATCATAAACCCATCACTTCATCGAGAATGGTTTCTATGTATGTGGGCGATGGGGTATATATAGCTGCAGCTGTGCTCTCCCTCCTTCAAAGGATATGCTGCTGGTTGGTGTAGTGGGATCACAGAGATCCAGTCTTTCAGTCCTGCTAGACTTTACTGTGGGCAAATAGATATGTTTAAAAAAACATATGTAATATATATATTAAAAAAAAATAATGCAGGAGAACTGCTGTTTGAGATTTCTGCAGCCAGATCTGGAGTGTATGTCCTGCCAGGGCTGTGCAGTTTGCCTGAAAAGCTTTTCCAAGCTCTGGGACAGCCTGAAAATCTTCAGTTTGACCCACAGCTTTTTGTAGCTTGTGATTACCTAGAGAAATTTTCAGTTCTCAGTCTGTTATTCCTCTAGTTGCCCCAAATCAGCCAAATACACACACAGAAATACACAGTATTGTCTGGTACGTGGGAGCACAACTTAAACCATTAGTGGAAAATTTCAGTTAATTATATAGGCTCCACGTGATTGTAGATCTCCGAGCTGTACTTTTTCCACAGTAAAGTGTCCACATCCGATCGTGGCCACGTGTGTTAGCTTCAGTGCCTTATGCTGGCTGCAGGAGCACAGCGAATATTTGATCTGGCATTAAGTCTTCTGGGACAAAGTCACTCCTCGGAAAGTCCTGAGCAGATCTGAGCCAGTCGTCTGGGTTGGTGCCAGGCTGGTGTTTTGTGTCCTGTGGCTGTCATGTTTTTGATTGAATGCTTTGGGCCTAAAAACAAGATTCTTCCCATCTTGCAGAACCTCAGCCTGCCCGAATCCTCCGCGAGTTGTGAATATTTGTGAAGATAATACCACATCTGTGTGTCTGGCAGAGTACTGGACTCGGTCTGTCCATTCCCAGAAAAATTCACAGCTTGCTTTCCACTTGGCCAGTTCTCCTACCTGCCGTGGGCTGACTGAAATAACTATATTCTCCCCGGACAGCCTAAAAATCTGCTGAAATTCTGGTGGGAAGGGGAGGGTGGAGCACTTCTAGGTGTGCACACAGCTGTTAGAGCCTTTCCTCCCTAAGTGCTTTGTAGGGCAGAAAGATCTTGTAGTTATTGGAGTGTTCTGACACCTGAGAGTAACTTAAGGGACTAGAGAAAACGGCTTTTAAAATTCTAGGTGGTCTATTTTTCCCCTTGGTAAAAGTACTTTGTTAAAAAGCTAATAAAAGGTTGCTTTAATGAGTATGGATGCTTTCATCATATTGCCCAGAAACTCCACGGGCTGTCTGAGAAGATGTCTTCAGGGGAAAACGCTAACTGGAAAAGCAGACAGTGCAAAGCTTATGTCTCTGAAATGTTTCTCTCCAGACGCGTTCATCAGAGTTCGTCTGAGCTGTGGAAATGCAGCGAAGTTGGCACAAGGCCGGGAAAGCCGCGCTTGGTCTGAGTTTTCATCTGCGCTGATCCCTTCAGCGATCACAGGGACGAGCCGGGTGACAGCTGAGCTGCTTCGCACTTGCCTGGAGGTGTTGAACCTGGTGCAGAGACAGGTCCCTTTCAAGGGGCGAGGAAAATCTGTTTATCTGCTGAAAGGTCAGAGCCTCGGATGTGACTGAAGTCCCAGTGGAGGCTCTTTCGCCGCAGGCCTGCTCTATGGACAGGAGTTATCCCCTCCTGTTCTCCTGCTCTGGCAGCCAGCTCCTCTGCCTGTGACCTCGACCTTCCTTGCTTTTAACCAGACTTTGTGAGCCCTCCTGTGAGGGAGATGTTCATTTCTCTTCATCGGTTCCTCATTTTCAGCCCTGCAAGTGCTTGGCTGCGATGGAGCAGACTTCATGAGGCAGCGCCTCCGGGCTGAAGCCTGGGACCCTCACGCAGGAAGGGGTGAGGAAGCAGCCTCACCAAGCAGTGGGTTTCAAGCCGGAGGCGGCTTCATCATCCTTTTAGAGTCCAAGTGAGCAAAAGTGGGTTCATCTGCTGTGGGGAATTCCCCTCTGCCAGCGCCGCTGCATCTGCTGTGGGAGTTGGCGCTTTCCTAAGCCCTAAATGAAGGTGTGATGGAAACGGCGCGTGTTTCTGCAGTGGCACTTTTATTTTTAAAATGAGTGAGCCTAGCTGCCTTCTAAGCTGCCAGGAACATAAATTTAGTACATGGTGTCTGAAAGCATTTTACTAGCCAGCTCCTTTTCAACAAGCCTGTCTCTCTTAGCCCAGTTTAAGGGTAGGCCTTACAAGCCAAAGTACAGGTGTGGGACAGGAGCAGTGAGGACTAAGGCTTGTTCTGCACCCAAAAAAAATCCAAATCATAGGCGGGGTCTGCCCCATCTCTCTCCTCTCTGAATCTCGTGGGTGATGGCTTAGGGCTTCTTGAGGAAAAATAGTGAAGCATCATCAAACCAGAAAAGCAATGCAACTTTTTAATAGATCCACACCAAAGGCATTGCTTCTTTGTGCCTGCTCCTCAGTGTCCTCTGCTCTAGCTCTTGTATCCTCTGCTCTAGTTCTTGCTCTGTATCTTTAGCTGCTCTTGTCATCGTGCTGTCTCACACCCCGGCTCTGTGTGCTGCTTAAGCTCACACCTCCTGTCGTCGAGTGGCACTTAAAAAGTCTGTGTAGCAACACAACTTATTTTATTAAGTTTTATTAAGTTTTAGGACCATGTTTTATGCTCTGAAGGAACACTTTCTTCACATAAATGCTTTGACATTTTTATAGAAATGGCTATAACTGTGTTATTTCATGTGGGGAGGAATTTATTAAGCCTGGATCTGGATCTCATTTTTATGCTATGCAAATGAGTAATAACAAGCCTTCTTCATTACCAGCTCAGTGCTTAGGCCATGGCTGTTAAATTCCCACCTTCCCTTCAGTCTGCTGCTATCAGACTGCCACGTTAGGCTGCAGCCTCATCAGAATTCATAAAACCAGTCCAGCCTTGTGTTGGGGTACAAGGCTGAAAAATTATAACCTGAGCAGCAGAACACGGTATTTCTTTGCCTATTGAGAGGAGCAAGCCAGGGTATTTCAGAGCATGATGGGTTGAACAAGGGATGACACCACCTTGATTACTCAGGATTATGAAAAAATCCACAACAGCCATATGGTGGGGGAAAGCATAAAGGTCCGGGCATCTCACTGTTCTGGTCTGATCACACGTCAAGCAGAAACACCCTGGTTTTGTAGTCCCCAGAGTAGCTGCCATTGCACACCACCATTAACATGCTTGTTTGGCAGATGGATCATCAGTGGTGTTTATGGGTTTTAAACTACACAGATGCAAGATGAGGATCTAAAACCTAGCTTTCTCTCCCATAGGTGATTTCACTCTCCAGAGACTGACTCTCTTTGTCCCAATTAGTTTGAGTTTAGACTTTAGAGTTTGGGGACTTCAGAATTTATGTCCCAGAAACAGAGCCTATTTCTCCCCAGTCGGGGATGATGACCTCAACCACTAAAACAGAACAAATGGGCTGGGCAGAGAAAATGAAGAGCGTAAATGGGTTGCTGATCTGGCTTCTGTGAGCTCTGAAAATACCAGTTGAGTCAAGTCCCGAAGGTGAGAAAAGTAAGAGGAACATCTTATGTGTGCATGGGGGTGGGATTTTGTGTGGGCTAAGCACCAAATGTTCGGCCTCTTGTGGATCCAGCCCTGCTGGTCTGCAGTGACGTGTTGAGCGATAAAATACATATCCAAGGGAGTTCCTAGGCGTGGTTTTGTGAGAGAAGAGAAGAGAAGGGCTTTCCTGTGAGCTGCATTTTCTTCACAGGGGAGAGCTATCAGCGCTCTTCCCGGAGCAATTCCAGGAACTGTAATTATGCTTTTGTGTATCAAGGGAGAAGTGTGTTCGTACCTGACCTGGTGTCTGGGGAGATGAGGCGTTCTGTCTTGGGAAATTGTCACCTTCCGTCTGGCTGCTCTCACACAGCTATTGCCGCGCACACATTTCCCCCGCAGTGTGGTCACAGCAACCTGCCAATATTCACCTGAGGCAGCTGCAGTCTGTTCTGCTTTTGTGGCCTTTAGGTCAGACTCTGGCTGGTCAAATAGAGCTAATGCTAGTGGTACAGATTCTTCAGATCTCAGGCTGTAATTTCCGTAATATGGCATTACGTTTAAAATAATAATAAATATTTGTATCGCAGCAAAACCCACAGATTATTTAGATAGAGAGCAATCACCTGTACTAAAGCCTAGACTGGATATTAGCACCAACATCCCCTGCTGTCCCTAAACCCATGCACAACCTTCTATCAGCATCCTGCAACCCCAGCTGTAAAGCTGTAGTACCTCGAAAAGGAGAGGCTGGATTATAAGACGTGGCATCATTAAGCTAACTTATTTTTTTCTCCTCCCCTTAACAGCCAGAAAATAATTTTTTTTGAAGAAGAAACGTGCAGCCTGCCTCCAGAATGAGCCTCGAAACAGTGCAAGGCAGGTAAGTGCCCCCCGGCCGTTCATTCCCTGCTGAGCAGCACCATCTAGAGGCTGAGCTGGGCTGAACCGAGCTGAGCCGGGCTCTGGGGACAGGGGCAGCCCGCACAGGACCCGCTGTGTTGGGGACAGGGCTGCGGGGAACGGCTGCATCCCCCGCTCCGCGCTTGGGTCTGCCGACAAAAGCGGAGCTCAGGGAGGAGCTGCAGGCATCGCTGCCAGCCCGAGGGAAAGAAATCCCCTCTGATGCTTGGCTGTATGAAAGAAGCAAGCACTAAAAGCATACAATACCTGAATGCCTAGCTTTGGGATGCCAAAATGCAAGCCCAGTCCTTCTGCTCCTGACTTGCTGAAGAGGCTGGAGAGTGCTGATATGATTCAGCACCGATTGCCTTCAAAGCAGGGGAAAAGCAGCTCCAGCCCAGGTGCCACTGACAGGGTGTTTGCTAATCCCATGTACTCAGAAACAGGTCAACAGCACAGTGGGAGTTCGAGCCTGGGAATTCAAGGCTCAGAGTTAACCTCCACCTCATCAGGCTGTATCTCCCTATGCCATCACCCATTGCCATTTTGCACAAATTGTAGTTTTATATAAGAAAACATGAGATTTTATTTGCAGTCCCTGAGGATTTCCAGTGTCTCAGCTTTGGTTTGTAACCTGCTCTCGCAGACTTGCGGCGGTGCTGGCAGAAGGGAGCTCCCAGCCGAGCACTGGCCCGTGGCTTTCTCCCACTGACCCTTGCAAACCCCCAAGAGCAGAGGTTTCACCATCGCTCTTAGGACAACCTGTTCCTGTGCTGCGTAACCCCCCAAGCAGAGAGTATTACATCCAGGAATTGCCTCAGTCCCTGGGGTGTTCAACGGCAGTTTTAGTTCTGTAGCCAGATAGCAGATTTGAGGTCATGCATCAGCATTAACACCAGTTCTTTCTGTCTGTGTGCCTCTCCACTTTTCCCTCTCTCACTTTGTTCCCATAAGCTTTTAGTTGCTTCTCCTCAGACCGGTGTCAGAGGTTCCTCCTGTTCCTGGTGGCTGCAACTCGTCCTTTCAAACACAGCAGTGTGTTTGCTAGTTACTGCTCTGATGGGAAAGATCACAGTTTCACCATGGCAGAGAAAGGAACACCCTGATCCTTAATCAAGTTCCCTGATAACCACAGTTACATCACACTTCTATCCATTTTTCAGTGTATCAGATTAATTTTTGAATGGGACCTTCTAAATTGAAGGAGAATTGACAAAAAAAAAAAAAAAAAAAAAAAAAAAAGATTTTTTTCCTCTGGGTACAGCGCTTCCCATGTCTTAATAGGAGATTTCATGAAATGCCCATTAAAGGCCAAATTCCTACTGGCCTCAGCAGAACCACTAATAAGCAAAGGAAAGGATGGGGGGAGAAACACTTCCCTTAAACAAAGAGGCATAAGATTCAACGAAATGTGAATATTATTTATTTAGAAAATGATTGGCATATCACAGGCAGGCATCAGTGAAACAGAAGCATCCGTCATCTAGCCTTAGGCTACCGCTGAGCTCATGCTCAGATCGCAGTGTCCTGTACATGGTGTGCTCTGTGTGCGCCATTCGCTGCTGCCTTTGCAGCCTCTCAGCACAGATGTGGTTCTTTTGGGAAGATTTTTGTATTTTACATTTTCTAACCTGTTTAATGCCTAACTTAGTGCCTGCAATTTTTACCAGGAGGGGTGGATAAAGCCATGTTTGACACAGCAGCAAGTGGATAACTACCTCTGGGCCGTTTCCACTACTTAAGAAGTCAGTTCAGCTGCAGATCAGGGAGAAGGGATAGTGATCTTTTGCCATCCTGGTGAAATGTTTGGCAGAGGGAATGGCATGTTTTCTCATTTTCATGGGGATAACAGGAGTGTGTGCCTGTGTGGGGAGGGAACTCATGGAGCAGAGGTGTGAGGTAATGGAAAAAGTTACAATAGTAAAAAGCAAAGAAAATCTTGCCCAGACTTCTGCATCTCAAGGTCCTCTGAGGCTCCCTGATCTTCATCACCTTCTCAAAACATGCAGGTCCCTACACACACACCAGTTACAGAGGCAGCACTGATGCCTTTGCCTGTGTGTGGATACTGAGAAGACTGGAGGTGATGAGAAGTCTTCACTCAGAAGGAGGAGTTCTCATGTTGGAGGGAAAGGCTGAGAATTACCAGCCTCTGCAACAGGCAGGCTGCCTCTCCCCTTTTGATGTCACCCTGCAACCACATCCCTTACAGCCAGGGTTTGTGGAGTGTTTTCCCTCACTGCCTGCTAGAGAGCTGCTCCAACAATCCCTGCCTGTCCCTGTGGCTGCCAAGGGGTCTCCAGTAGCGGGCTTGGCAGCTTTTGTCCTTTGTTAGTTTATGATGAAAATCTTGAAGTCTATAAATTCTGAACTCCTCTGAAAGCTTCAGTTGTCTTACCATGTGAGATTTAAAGGCTGTGACTCGCTTCTCTAGTGAGGTCTCAGAGGAGCCACGGGCAGGGCTTCCACGTGTCCTGGGAGAGCATCGCTGAGCCCAGTGTACAGGGAAGCTGATGACTTCCTCCCATCTCTCTGGCTCACCAGCCCTAACTTGGCTCAGAGATTTATCTGTCTCCAGATGGGAAGATCTCCAAATCCCCAGCTTTTCATGTTCCACATCCTTCCTGTGGTTAAAAACCAAACAGATGCATACTTGTCCTCTACACCACGCAGTCATAGATTTGCCATCATTTGGAACAAGGGCACATTATAAGTCACTACAAGCGTAGAACCAAACCTTCCCTGCAGATACTTGACTACACGGTTGTACAGTGACTACTGCTGAGTGACACGTGCTATGTTTGCCTTTTCCCAGGAACAAAGTGGTTGCCTGTGCTCTGGTTAAAGCAAAACATTTAGCTGGAGAGCCCTGGGAAGCGACTGAGGACAAGCTGTTGATTCACTCTGCAGCATCTGCCTGGTGAGTTGCTCCTCCTTGCACCCAGCAGGAAAGCTGGGCAAAGACAGAGGCCTGACTTGCACCTCTCCATCCTTATTGATGGAAAAACTATGAGCTGCACTACTCAGTAAGTTAAATACAGACCATTGTGGCCTCCTTTGAGTAGTATTCATTCACCTGGAAGCAAAACTGAGGCTCTGGCCGGACCCAAATATCTTTTGGGCAAGTACTGGATCAGAACAAATAACTCCTGTCAGTGTAGCTGACCTTGGAGAATTTTATTAGCTAATTAAGATGCCACATGCAAAGGGCAGATTGAAACTACAGTCTCAGTTAAAATTTAGCTACTCTCTTAATTGAGTTGAAGAAGTCTGGCTTACATCCTAAGCTGTTGGCATCCTGTATTGCTATAAGAATATTACCAATCATTTTATTGGAGAATGCAAATAATATCAGTGTCATACTGATGGATGGCCTAGCATGTAACAGGATAGGGGAAAAGCTGGTAATTTTATAAAATTGTATAAATTCTGCGGTGGGTTTGGCCCAGCGTACTGGATCTCTGCAGTGTTTTCCAGGACACAGGATGAACAGGAACCGTTTGCTTTGTCAGTTCCAATGAAAATAAAATAGAGATTTTTCAGGAGCAGGGAGAAGGAAAAGCAATTTTCCTGTAATTGATGTTGTGAAGCTCATCAGAGATCCTCCACTCTGAAGACTGTTTCAGAAAAGAAATGACAGATTTTAAAATCCTCCCACATGGTGTATTCATATAGCAGTATCACTAATTGTTGTGATAGATTATTTACTCCTGAACACAGTCTTTCTTACATGTGCATGTGCTTGTCTGTATCTATCCATCTTTCTAAACGCAGCCTTTCTGCTTAGCTTAAAAGTCTTATGGTTCACCTGAAGCCAAAGAATTATTTAGTTGAATTATGTTGCTCCACTAAGACTTGTTCAAAGATCTCTAGTCTCACAGACTCACAACGCACTTGGACAAAGAATTCCCAAGCTGTTTATAAAAAGATAGTAAGAGGTCTGCTGCAAGCTGATTGGAGTCAGAACTTGTGTTTTTTAACTCAATTGGAAGGAATTTTGGACTTTGAGAGTTTTTCCTAATCAAAACGAGGACTACGTTTCATAAATTGGTTTATATTCAGAACAGAGAATTTGCATTCATGTAACTCAGTAGGCTTTGGAAGTACTGTTACCGCTATACTGTCCTTTCAAGGACTTCACATTAAAAGTCGCTGATGTGATTGTATTATTATTACAGGTCTGCAAAGAGCACAGACCTGGGAAGGGGAAGATTTTTCAACCACTGTGCATTTGTGCATATGAATAATGGTAACAATTATACTTTCACTCCCCTTCTCAGCCATTCCTGATGGACTACAATCACAGCACTGAGATGTAATTTTTGGTTCATCATTCCCCTCTTAGAGCCATCAGGCTGATCAGGTAACCTTTTCAAGTACTTGGGGATTTTTTATTTGTTTCTGACTCTGCAAGACGACGGTAAAATGCGGTCCAGTTCTTTGCTGAAATAATGAGGCTGGATCCAGGCTCCCCGGTACAAGAAAGACAGGGATCTCCTGGAAAGAGTCCAGCAGAGGGCCACAAAGATGATATGGGGCCTGGAGCATCTTCCCTATGAAGAAAGGCTGAGAGAGCTGGGTCTGTTCAGCCTGGAGAAGAGAAGACTGAGAGGGGATCTCCTCAGTGTATGTAAATATCTGAGGGGTGGGGGACAGAAGGATGTAGCCAACCTCTTCTTGGTGGTTTGTGGGGATACTGGACACAGTACTCCAGGTGAGGCTTGACCAGGGCAGAGTAGAGGGGGAGGATCACCTGCTGGCCACCCTCCTTTTAATGCACGCCAGGATCCCATTAGCCCTCTTGGCCACCAGGGCACAGTGCTGGCTCATGGCCAACCTGTCATCCACCAGGACCCCCAGGTCCTTCTCCTCAGAGCTCCTCTCCAGCAGGTCGTCCCCCAGCCTGTACTGATACTTTGGGTTGTTCCTTCCCAGGTGCAGGACTCTACACTTGCTCTTATTAAATCTCATTTGGTTTCTTCCTGCCCATCTCTCCAGCCGGTCCAGGTCTTGCTGAATGGCAGCACAGCCTCCTGGTGTGTCAGCCACTCCTCCCAGCTTTGTGTCATTGGCGTACTTGCTGAGGGCAGACACTATTCCCTCATCAAGGTCGTCAATGAAGATGTTGAACAAGACCGGACCCAGCACTGACCCCTGGGGAACACCGCTAGTCACAGGCCTCCAGCCAGACTCTGCTCCACTGATCACCACCCTCTGAGCTCAGCCAGTCAGCCAATTCCCAACCCACCTTGCTGTCCACTCCTCTATCCCACACTGTCTCAGCTTTGCTAGTAGCATGTCATGGGAGACAGTATCGAAAGCCTTGCTAAAGTCAAGGTAGATGACATCCACCCCTCTGCGGTGGATCCAACCGCATCCACGGTTGAGGCCACTCAGATGCTCCTGAACCACTCCCACGTCCACCAGGGGGGAGCCCTCCATTTCCCAGACCCTTTGTCCTATTGCCAGGGGCGAGGAGTCCCGGGGGAGTGTCCTTGAAGCAAAGACTGAAGCAAAGAATGCATTCAGTATCTCTGCCTTCTCAGCATCTCTTGTGACCAGGACACCCCCCTCATTCAGCAAGGGACCCACATTATCCCTCGTCTTACTCTTGCTGTTTACATACTTGAAAAAAAAACTTTCTTATTATCCTTTATCTCTTTTGCAAGCCTCATCTCTAGGTGGGTTTTAGCCTTCCTCGTCACGTCCCTGCAGGCCCTGGCAACACATCTATACTCCTCTCAAGAGGACAGGCTCTTTTTCCACATTTCATAGACCATCCTCTTCCTTTTGATCTTATTGATGAGCTCCTTGCTCATCCACGCGGGTTTTCTGCCCCCCTTCCCCAATTTCCTATTCCTCAGGATGCACTGATCCTGAGCATGGAAGAAGTGCTGCTTAAATGTAGCCCAGCTCTCACAAGCACCCTTTCCTTCTAGCAGCCTATCCCATGAGATTCTCCCAAGCAGGTCCCGGAAGAAGTCACAGTTGGCTCTTCAGAAGTCCAGGGTAGCAATCCTGCTTTTAGCCTTACTTCCTTTGCCTAGTTCCATCTGGAACTCCACCATCTCATGGTCGCTGCATCCCAAGCTGCCCCCAACCTTCACATCCCTAACAAGGCCATCCCTGTTGGTAAGAATGAGGTCCAGGAGCACCCCCCACCTTGTCGGCTCCTCCACCACCTGCATCAGAAAATTGCCCTCAACAATTTAGTTATGTGTGGCAGGGACAGTGGGAGTCCCCTGTGTGATATCTGATGTCCCCTGTATGCTGCCAGGAAACAGCTGCCTTTTCCAGTTTGTTTGCATTTGTGGAGTCGGGGACCCCATTTAATGTTTGTTGCACAACCCACTGCTATTTATACGGATGGATCCCTCTTCCCTGCTGCTCCCAGTGCCTTCCAGCCCTGGGCCACCTCCTGCCCTGCCTAGCAGCGGCTGTGCCAGCCCTGGAACTTGCTCTGCTGGTGTAAGAAATTGCCTGGCTCTATTTGTTCAAGCCACCGTCTTGCTTCCAGTGTTGCCTACGAACACTGCAAGAAGCAGCAGGCTTTCCTGGGCTGCCTGCTGGGAGCTGGAGCTGCCTGGCTGTGCCTGCTGGGAGCCTGCAGAGCGCTGCCTGAGGCAGGCCAAAGCTGCTCCGGGGCCAGCTGGCAGAGACAGGGTGTGGGTGACTTCAGGGAGAGCTCGTGCCTGTGCCTCAGCACTAATTGCTTCTCTGGTAGAGGGGCAGGGAAATCCCCCAGAGAATCTCAGACAGCGGAGATAAACACCTAACACAGGGTAAACACAGATGGCTGGGCTATTGCTTCCTTCCCTCTGTGGTTGGGATATGAAGATAGAAAAGTCTGCATTTTTTGCTGCTTTTTCCAGGCAATTGGAGCAGCCCAGTTGTACTGTGTTGGCTGGAGATTTTTTACTTTGAAATCATATGGATTATCTAGAAAAATGATCTCCACTTCATGATAAAATCCTTTTGCCAAAGGTGAAGAGGCTTGTGGTCTGTCTCAGCTGAACAATACTGTCAATTTTTATCGAATAATCTACTGTGAAAGTAGTTGTGACTTTTTTTGTGTGCTCACGTGATCAAGGTACAGACAATAAACAGATTTTTACCCTGGATGTGCTGATGCTGCGGGGCAAACCCAGCCCTGCAAGGCTCTGCAGTTGAACTCAGTGCCAAGTGTCAGAGCAGCCTGCCTGCAGGACAAACCATTCCCTCTGCAGCTCCCTGAGGAATGTCAAATTCTAAGGACTTTCCCATGCTGCCTGGTACATTGGATTGGGCTGCTTGGCTCTTTTTTATTATTATTTTTTTAATTTCTCTAGAATAGAAATGTCACTTCTATGTTTCTCCATTTCCACAAAAGAATTTTTCTCAGATCCAGCTATAAGCCCAGTAGTAAGGGGAAGCAGCTGTGGTTTGTGTGCATCTTCCTTCCCCCCCCCCCCCCCCCCCCCCTTTTTTTTTTTAAATAAAAGTACTCCTCAAACCTGCAAGAGAAATCCACAACATCAGCTGCATAGTCAATCTTGTCTGGACAGCACTAAGCAATGTCACATACTTGCTTAATTCCTGGGGTAAGCATGTAACGTGTAAGAGTGATTGTATTTGCCACTACAGACAAAGGGGATTTCTTCCTCTTTCACTCAATTTCAGTGTCTAAAGTCTCAGTCGCAATAGGTAAGCACAGGTTGATCTGTATCAGCTGTGGGAACGGAGCCTTTCCCACTCTTTCAATGCAGGTGCCTCAAGTATTTCACAATGCACGTGTAAAGCAGCTACTTCCATCAGTAGCCCTATGTTTTCTTTGCAAAATGACAACAATTATAGTGGGAGGTGGAAATTAGACCGGGAGACTTCTAAACTCCATGAGTTAATAAGGGCGTTATAGCTCTTTGCTCTAACTTATCCTGGGAATAGACAACAGGATTTTAACAGGGCCTATACCCCTATAAAGCCCATATAAATTGTTTATTTGCTAACCCAAAGCACCAGCATTACTCTGGTTCTAATTGCACAGAAGCTGGTGGCTAAGTCTGCAACCCACTCCACACTTTGTTTTGAAAAGTTGGGATTTGGGGCAGGAGTATCACGAAGAATTAGCCAATTCTTATATTTCACATTTTTTGAAATGCATCTCTTTCTTCCTGGGGCACAAAGGTTTCCAGAATAGATAATAGAGAGTTTTTGCAGTATTGCTGGAGCCATGATGATTTAAAGAAAATGAAAGAGGAAAGGTTTGGTAGGAAGAGGCAATATCTTCAATTAGATCAACTGGCATCATTGGAAAAAACAGACAGTGTTGCAGCACAGAAGTCCTTATGATGCAGAAAGTGATTGAAAGCCCCTAGAATTGTCTATTTGTTTCCTCAACTCTATCAGATGGCGCAATAAAAGATCTTATCACTTCCTACACATGCCAGCTCTCTGTGTAGGGGTTGTCCCTCCGCACTGCAAATCTGGTCACAAGCATTATGTATCTTCCTCCAACCACAGCAAACCATGGCCTGAAAAAAAAATAAAATAAAAAATCTCACACCTGCTCTTTCTTCTACCCCAGCACCTCTGGGGCTAAGCTCTAACTGTGTTAAAACATTTGCTAAGTCTTCAGTGAGTGGTTAACAGCCTCAAGGCTGGCTCTGCACAGCGCTGCTTGCTCACTACTAGGAAATCTCATTTCAAAAGCTGGACCCAGGGGGTCTCTCGGCACTTCTGCAGGATCAGCCCTTGTAACCTGTGTCTGTTCTGGCCCTGCTGTGGTCCCTTCCCTGCTCCAGTTGCTGTTCTGATCATCTATTTTGTATCTTTCATTTTGAGGTATCACTGAGGAAAAGAAAAACCCTTGAAAATTACATGTTTTCGCAAGCAGGTGGTTCTGTTTTTAAGTGCTCTCTTGTATGTTTTCTGCTTTCCAGCTCTGCACGTGCTGTGGGACTCCCTTTCTCCATCTGCCACTAGATGGTATAGCTCTGGCAGATACTTGCCAGCTGCTCTGCACCCTCTGAGATGAAGTCCCCAGAACAGCAGCACCCTCAGTGCTCCTGCTGAGCGCCCCGTCTGCACAGGCTCCCTTTTATGTCCTGAGGGTGTGTGGCCAGGGCTAGCAGGCTTTCTTACTGCAGTTGCCATTTGCTGGACAAATGGGAATAATCTGTTCACCAGCAGGCAGTCCTTTTCCAGATCTTTTTTTTTTCTTTTAATTCCAAATCTTTTTTCTTTTTTTTTTAATCCAGATCCTTTAAAAGAACTGAAACAAAAATGCAAACAAAACCCTATTTTTTCACGGTTGTAAAACTTTTATAATAGTTTTGTATTTCCTTTATGTGCTCGTGAAAGAACATTAGCTGAACATGCAGAAAATTATTCAGCAAAATTGTTATTAGTCTAGTTGATGAAAGAATGTGATGAGATATGCACCAATTTTGTATTAAAAAGCATGACTTAGGCTGTTAGGCCTTGAGTGATTTGCTGCTTTTTCACGTTTGATGTGCATCTCTCTGGTAGGTTTATGTGAGCCCGTTCCACTTTTATGTTTCCTTGTTTTGTTACTAAGCTGCCTTGTGTCACTGCTATTCCTACTGGGGAAGCAAACAGGAAAGCCAAAGCAGAAGTGGAAAGAACACCACGTATCTACCCATTAAGTGTTCGTGGCACCCACTTGCATCCTTTTCAGTCATCTGATTTATATCTGAGCTATGCAGCGGTGCTTTTGCCAGATTATTTGTAATCATTCGGTAATCTATGAACACACAACACCTGCTCGCAGGCTTGGGCTGGACTTGGCGAGTGTCTGGCTGGGGTTTGGTCAGACACTCCTGAGCAGTGTGAGGTGAGGAGGTTTTGTGCGATGAGGCGGCAGCGTTGAACCAAAGGGCTCCTAGACGCCATGGATGGACTCAACCCTGCGTGCTTATTCACTCAACACCTCCGGGCATGCGGGAGGAGCCTTAACCAGCCCCTGTGTGCGTGTGGAGGGGCTGAGCGGCCATGACGGGACCCGCAGTGCCTCAGCCCTGAGGGGCGCCCGGGGCCTCCCCTCAGCGACCGCTCCCCCCCCTTCGAGCCCCCCCCCCCCCCCCCAGCCCGCACTGCGGCTGCGCGGAGGCTCCCGCGGCTGCTCTAAAGGCGGCCCCGCGCATGCGCGCGCGCCTCAGTCAGGTGACGGGAAGCGGCGGCGATGGAGCGCTACGACAGGGCGGCGCTCGGCGGGCTGCCCGCGCCAGAGCTGAGGTACGGGGGGATGGAGGGCTGGGAGAGGGGGCTCTGGGGGTGGAGGGGGCTGGGGGAGGCTCGCAGTGAGGCTACAGGGTGAGGGGGGCTGGGGCCGGTGCTGCCAGGCCGCGGGGGGAGGCCCGGGCCTAGAGGAGGGGACCCAGGCCTGTGGGGGGGAGCACACGCCTGGGGGTGTCCCGGGTTTGCTGTGGCCCCGGGCAGGCTCTGAGGTGGTAAGGAGAGGAGCCACGCTGGACCCGGGTTGTAGGTGGGCTGGGGGGAGTGTTGGAAGCCTGCGGGAGGGGGATTCGTGCTCGTCAGCGCAGGGGTTGTGGGCTCTGGGTGGTTGGGGGGGGGGTCTGCGTGTGGTGTCAGTGCGGGGAGGTGCTGGGGAGGTGTCTGGGCAGGGAGCAGGGTCCCGGTTTTATGCCTAAAGGATAGGGGAGGTTTAAAGGGGTTGGGCGTCCCAAGCAGAGAATGCTTTGGGCAAGCTGTAGTAAAGGGAAAGGCTCAGAGCAGCTCTTCTCTAAGCTGTTTAATGTGCGACTTAAAGGTATGGCAGTGCAGTGTGGCCTAACTGGTAAAAAGTGCTGCTGGCTTTGATGTAAAAACTGTCTGTGGCCACACATCGCTTTTTGTGACCCTCAGAGAATGAGGTTGTGTTTGTTCTTTGCTTTCCCTTTTCCAAAGAAATGTCAAGGACAGAACGTGATCTTATGCAGTATATTGTGGTACAAATATCTCTGGATAAAGCCTTTGAAATCTCAGTAGATGTCTGGGAGTTCTAAGAATCGTGCATCCCTGACTTGAATTGGCTGTGATGGATATTTGTGCTTCTGTCTTAAGGACTTTGAAGGCCTTTGTGACTTTGCTGTTGAGCCTGGTAGTCCTTGGAAGTCAGAAGTGTATTGGTTGGTTTACGTGTTTACTGCCACATGAAGCAATAAAGCCAGCAGAGCGGTTGACAAGTGGTAGGAGCACACCAAAACAAGCTGTACCCGTTGTTTTGTAAATACAGAACCTGTTCTAGCAGACAAATTCCAGGGAGACCTTACCAGCTGCACTTGCCTTCAATGTGATTCTCTTGGCCAAAGTCTTTTAAGTTTAGGTCTGGGAAGGCAAAAAAAAAAAAGTTACTGATGCTTTTGTGTAGTAGCTCAATGTGCTAATTATTGTTATGGCTGCTCCAGTTTTCTTAGTGGAAAGTAGAAAATTATTTTAAATGTAGAGAGACAGGACATAATAAAAAGGAACTTAATTTCCAACAGTAAGCTCTTAAAAGTCATTCCTTGTACTTCCCTCTCTGAGTCTGCAGTGTTTGTCATTTTCCTAGACTCATAGTTTTTTTCGAAGGAAATAGGGAACTTCGGGAGTTCTGGGGTAAAATACTGTCATGTATGTCATTCATGTGTATCTAATATTAGATATTTAATAACATCAGTATGAAATTACTATGTTGTTAGTGTTTGCAAAACACTAACAGAAAAGTCTAAATACTGTTACCTGCCTTGTTAGTGAACTTGACCTGGCAGTCACTGCATCACTCTCAGTGCTGTGGCTTCCTGTTGCAGGCAGGGAATGCATACTCAGTCTTCACCACTTCCAGGTGCACTTAATTCCTGCAAAGTAAATAGCTTACTTCTCTGGTTCTTGTGCTGTGTCAGGCATGCATACTCTGACTTCCTTCTATGTGTAACTTTTCTTATTTATTTCAGAAATGAGGGTTCATTAACATCAACTTTAAGAACACTTCTGTTCTTCACAGCTCTAATGATCACATTACCTGTTGGGCTGTATTTTTCATCAAAGGCTTATATATTTGAAGGTAATTTTGTTTCTGCCAATTAGCATTACTGTTACGGAAATAGGAAAAGTTCTCCTTGTTTGGAACACTTATTTCCTTAAACAAACAAAAAATCCTGTAATGTCTAACTTGAACTAGAAAGTCATATAAATGTTTGATGCATCTTTCGTTGCGTTCTGGTCTGCAATTTAATATTTACTGTTTGTTCCTCAGTGGTTTGTCATATATGGGTGCAGCATTCCCTTTACCTAAAGGGTATCTAACACCCCACTTCTTGAGAGCTGTACCAGAATTATCAGGGATATGTTTCCTGCGGTTATTGCAAACTAATTGTTTTTTCAAAATAGATTAATGCTATTTACTGAACTTGTTTGCATTTCAAAACATACCTGCATTAAGTGTAAACCACTGAAGTCAGCTGCTTTTAAGAGCAGTTTCAATGTATAGCTAAATTGGAAGGTCCTCCAGGATGGTTCTCCTTTGGTGTTTACTGCTATATGTAGTTCTGAAGGATGAAGCTGAAAGCTTGCTAAATAAATTTCAAGTGTATTTTCAGCGTATTATGTTTTGCTGTTCTTTTGTTGTTGTTTTTTAAACCTGAGGTGTTGCAAGCTGAGCCTTAACTTTAGTGTGTCAGTTAATGGCAAGATCTGTTAGCATTGCTAGGATCGGATTTGTGTTTGGGAGGGTGTCGTTTTGGTGTTTGCCTTTTTGTTGTTTCCTGATGAAAAGAAACAATGTTTTGTCTTCTGGTATTTTAAGGCTTGTTTCATGTGAGAGGTATCATGTATTTCAAGTGGTGAGTTGTTGTTTTAGAGCTTAAATTCAGAAGGTAGAAGTTCTCTAAATTGTTGTTCTGTAGATTTATCCATTATAGCAGCAAACAAGCTATGTAATTGTGTTGTTCCTCTATTTTCCTGCCCCACAGTGATTTACACTTGTGAAGAAAGGACGTTGAGGTTTATTTGGTGCTGGAGGATAATAAGAAGTGGATGTTGTAGAACTCAACTGTTGACTTGAAAGTCAGGGTATTTTATCTTAAATATTTTGCAGTGTTGCTTTATATTCCAGGAATAATTTTCAAGGTCTGTAGTTATCGTGGTGCATTCTTTCTATGAATCTTTCTGAGATCAGTCTTTTGATGCAGCAATAAATGTAAATTTTGGTCTTTTGAAAAAGTTGTCATCTTCTCTTTCAGCATTGACAACTAATACTCTTTCCTTCTCTTGTTTCCTCAGGTACCTTAGGAATGTCCAACAGAGACAGCTATTTTTATGCTGCCATAGTTGCTGTAGTTACTGTTCATGTGGTACTTGCTCTGTTTGTGTACGTAGCATGGAACGAAGGTACTCGACAGTGGCGGGAAGGCAAACAGGACTGAAAAGAAAATCGTCGTCTGATACCTACAGACTGTACATACAATTTTTGCGGGTTGAATGAAAAACATTCTTCAAAATGTATAATACTTGTGTACAAAGATGAGGCTAATGTCTCAATTTTGTTCAGTTACAGTAAGACTTGTGCTTGTCCTGGATGTGTAGCAATATGTTGTCAGATGCTGATGGAAGTTGTACGTGGCTGTAGCCAGCTTCTACTAGCATGAGCCAAGGAGGTCTTTACCTGAAATCAGAATGAAGTAATTGCTTAAAAAAAAAACAAAAAAAAAAACATGATAATCCTGTAACTATTTTTGTCATTCTCTAGTGTTTTTCTGGCCTTTTCTGAGAATAATATTGGCGTGAAACAAGCATTACATTTTCAAGTAACTGAATTGCTAGTTAAAAGGCAATATATCTAACTTACTGTCCAATTGAATTCAAGATGGGATTTCTTAGTTTCCCCACTTCTGAGCATACAGTCCAGCTGTGCGTTCTTCTGTGCTAATTCCTCAGGTTACTACATGTGTGGTTACTTTGTTGGCAGAGGTGGAATAAAGGCGATGACTGAATTGGCAGCTGTTTGCAGTGCTGCACTGGGCAGAAGCTTTTTACCTTTAGGAAATGAAAGATGTCAGAAAAAGCTGAAGATGTTCTCTGAAAAACTCATTAAGGAGAAACCTCTGAAGTCTGTTAAAGTATTCTGGCTTCTCACCACTGTACAGTGCTGCTTTCTGGCATCTGTAAGTCACTTTGTTCAAATTACAGATAATCATGCAGGGTGATCAGGTTATTTAAAAAGTAATGCATGGTTAATGTGCTCAGTGACCCTAAAGTGCAGTTACAATTTGAGTCAAAATACTAGACAAGTTTCGTCTTCTGTTAGGGGAAATTACACCTCAAGGAAGGGAAAAAAATAGTAATTATGAGTTTAGAAGTAATTGCAACAATAGAACTGGTTAGGAATTCATATGTCATCTTCCTAATTTGGAATACTCACTTTCTCTCATTTTCAAATGTAATTTTTGATTATGGTGTAAAATTTAATTTCTTAATTTCCTTTTGTAATGTTTTGGGAGTGATTGTCTTGGTGCAGTGCTCATCTTTCTGCTCTTCCACAATTAATTTTGATGAAGCAAAAGAAATGGTGTAATATATTTTTATATTCCTGTGTATGTCCTTGATAATTGCTGAAGGATGTGACTGGATTGCCTGTAGTGAAGGAACAACAGTAACGGCTGTAACAACCCACATGAATGGGCAGTAGAGGAACAAGCGAGATGTAAGGGAGAAAACAAGCTGTACATGTCCTTTATGAAGCAGAACACAAGTGATCACATTATGGCAAATTTGCTTTTCTTCATAAATATAAACTTGTACAGGGTGGATCGATGCAATATGTTGATCTTTTTTCCCCTCATTTGTGTCTGGAGACTTTCTGTAGTAAAACCGTGGTGAAATTCGTGTTATAGAATAATCTGAATTTCACTTCTCTGTTGTGCCGTGTTAGCAGGCTACTTACTCTGCAGATAAAAGGTTCCAGCAATGCGCACAGGACTCTACTAATGCTGTTGATTGCTTTTAAGCTATTGTACTTGAGGTCTTTCTGTTAATTTGAGTTTTCCAGTTTGTTGTATTAGTTGAGCATTTTTGGAAGTGTTTTGCTTAATAGACGACTTGGAATGATTGTGTTGCTACATCTGTCTTTTGTAACACAGACCCGTAAGTGAGACAAATCAGGTATCTTTATGCAGGAAATAGAAGAATGTGTTCCCATGGTTCATTCCTCTTACCTCCACCCCAACCCTGTATGTGCAAAAATACACACCGTGTACTAGGATGTAGCTGAAGCATTACCAATGACCTCTACAGAGGAGTGCAATGCTAGCACTAATCAGTCTTTACTTTTTTTTTTTTTTTTTTTTTTAGGAAACATTAACTTTTCTCATCCAGAAGTCCATTGCTAGGTTGCTGCCAGCAAGCTGGAGAACAGCATCTTAGCCCTGAAATACAAATTTCAGTAGTTGGACATTGCCATGTTGGCTTCCTGTTATCCAGTTTAGAGATGCTGTAGAACAAATACTGCTTTTTGCTAAGGAACTACCCTGCAATACAAGGTCCAGTAAATAAATGCTTGTGCTGTACAGTTTTTAAGTAATATCTTTAATGATGCTTATGAATAGCACAGCTTACAAGTAGATCAGAGATCAGCTATGGCATTGTTCAATAGCCACAGTCATTTATAACAGAGTATAAATGTGAAAAAAAGTTGTTCTGTACTAGCTGGGTCTAGTGCTATATCTATTGTTTCATGTACCAGAATTCCTAGACATTAAATTAACTTTTTAGGAATAGTAAGGAAATAATTGCTTATAATTATAACAAAAATCTAAAGTTTGACCTGTGCTGTACATAGAGCCACTACAATATCTCAGCAACTGGTGATGGGTAACAAGAGCTGAGCATTAAGCCATCCGTAGGAAGGTCTTTGCCTTTGAAGGTAATGCTTTGATTCCCAGTGTTCTCCCTGAGAAGAGGTAATTCCTGAGTCTCTGGACAGTTACGGACAGTAATGGTCACGGACTACTGGGTTTTGTGTTGCCTGTGCTTGGAAGCTGAAAACCACTCAGGTAAGTGGCGCAAAGACAGCAGTCAAGTGGTGGAAATACACCGTGACTGGGGAGCCCAAAGAACAGAAACTGCAGCCTTGTTCTGTAGTGTACATGGAATAGATGCTCTGCTGGGACTCCTGTTGTGCCTTAACAATACTAAGATTTATTTTATTTCAAGAGCTTTATTGCAGTCTCTTTGGGTTGTGTTTACTTCCCTATTTCCTCATGTCCCTGTTAACATCAAAGCTAATTCTCACCTTTTTTATTGTGTAATGGTTATTGTGATTGTTGTAGAGCTTAAATAATACCGTTTAAATGTGGAAACTGATCAAAGCTGTGGAGTAATCAATATTTTTGTTGTGGTGCTTTTATTTTCTATTAAAATGATACACATTTTGTAATGATGTAGTACTTTAAAGTGGTGCTGTAATTTTGTTCATTTTATTACTAGGAATGGATATGAAACAACTGTTTAAAAGACAAACTTGGGAAGCGTGGCCTTTCAGTACTTGAAAACCTTCTCAGTAAGAGTCCATTGCTTTTGTATAGGTTTACAGTTATGCAGTTTTAGCTAGAGCAAGCATTTTGAAACTGAGTTTGCAGCAGAAATTTCCTGGAATGTTTCCCAAGATTATTAAGAGTAAAGGTAATAGGGGAAATGGAGAACTGGAAAATCAGGAACTTCTCAAAATCAGTTTAACTTTTCTTCTGTACTTTTTATCATCTTCCTGTTTTTTAATGTCTGCAGAATCCTGGTGTATTCCCAGCCTATGGAAGCATGCAGGTGATTGACTTTGGTTTGTGGTTAATGATGCCTGATTTAATTCATCCGTGAGCTGTTCCCACTGAGTGGGAATTTTCCAGGGAAATTGATGATCACATTAACAGGAATTCTGTCATAACATTAATGTATGCGCTTCAAGTAGTCTTTACAGTATATTGAAAGAAAACAAAATACTGCCTACTTTAGTTTTGCTGTATAACAGTGGGCATAGTAATACAGAACTTAAACAACCTCTTGTGTAATTTGCATAATTATGATTGTCAGACACAAATTGATGGAAATCTGAAGGATATGACTTTTTCATGCTGTATTAGCAGCGTGACAAACTAGATGGCAGGCTTCTCTCTCAGTTTCCCATGATGGGGGAGGAGAAGTTGTGCTTGCTGAGAAATTGTATTCTCACTTAATACAATGGTGAGTAGCAAAATGTTTGAGATTATTGCAATTCTGGTGGCTTTCAAACAGCTGCACAGTTCTTGTAGTTAAATAAACTTCTGACAGCCCACACAACAGGACAGGGTGTGCTCAAAGCCTCCAGGCAGGGATACTGTTGGTAATAGTTCAGGTGAGTAGAAGACAGGACAGGAGAGGGCCTTGAAAACAGAATTTGCACATCTTATTTCTGGGTAATGCACCTGGGTATGGCTGAAATTGAGGTAGGCTACTGCCCATGGGAGAGGAAGGAAGGGTCTTGTGAAAGCAGAGGAGTGACTTGGCATAGCGTGAGGGCTGGCGTGTGCTGGCACAGCTTGGTACGTGATGGCTTAGGCAGCATATGGTTTTGTTCAGAAGTGTTTATCCCGTTGTTCTTTAGAGGATTATGCAGTCACTGATCTGAAATATTACATGTAAATCATACAAAACAGCAAGCCAGCTCCATTCGTAACTTTCAGTTGAAGTTGTTCATAGGCTGACAGCCGTGCATCTCCTTTTGTGCAAATCTGGGGCACGCTTGCTCAGCCTGCTGCTGTAGAACTAACATCGTTGCTAGCTCTGAGTCATCTCTTAGGGCAGGGTCAAGCCCTTGGAATGGAAATACTTCTTAAATAAAACACCACAGAGCAACTGCCACCAGTGTTTCATTAGCTGTAATCAACTGTCACTTTAAGGGAGGCACGAGAGCTTCTAATTCACAGTTCACAGGAAGCGGTGCTTGCTGTTCCCCTGCAAGGGAAGGCTCCCTTGTGCTTGAGTGGGGCCTGCAACAAGGAAATACTGTATGATTTGGGGCTCCCACAGTCATTCTGATATCTGAAGGTGGCTGCTACGGTATGAATTGCTGAGCTGGTTGGAGGGCTGAATTACAGTGCTGTGTAGCTGTGCTGAGCTGGGGGGTTAGATGGAACAGAGGGACTCGAATCTCACGGGACTTGAATGCCATTTAAATGTGAAATGGTAAGAAAAAGTATGGGGGAAGTGATTTTTCTAAAAAGCATCTTTTTCAGATGCTGATCTTCCCGTTTGTACTGTGGAAAGAAGGAACAGAGCAATGGTGCTCCCATTTCTGGAAGGCAGGGATAGCAAATGAAGTTCTGTAGTGGAGGGTGACTGGGAGAGGAGCTTGGAAAGTCACACAGCCAACTTGTTGGCTGGCCCGGTGAATCCCAGCCTGGGACTGAGCTTTCTTGTTGCTGCCTGTCATGTTTCAGGAAACTATTTGTCCCACAGTCTTGTGGTTGGTGTGTTCCTGTTCCGAGTGGTGCCTGGTGTTTCTCAGGCACCTTAATTTCTACTGGGCTTTTACTCTATCACTGACTATATATCAGCCTGGAAGAAAGCTGTTGATGCTTTGAGTTGGTGTATGACACTGTAATGTAATAGTTTTAGTGTAAATGCCCCAAGGCATAGACACAGGGTGTGTGTGATTAATTAAAGCTGCTTTTAATTGAAGGGTGATTTATGAGTGAGAGTAACAGCAGTGAAAGTTAAAGAACAAAAACTGTGGGTGCAGACCCGTGTTGCGGGCACCGCGGAGGAGCCATTTAATAACGTTGCTGGTTTTCAAACTCAGGATGCAATTCATCTCTGAACTTCTGTGATCCATCCTTAATGCTAGAGTTCTGATGCTGAACTGTAAATACCAAAGTTTAGCTCTCTATCTGGAGTGTTTCAGGTCATTTCAAGGGAACGAGTCCTTGTATTTATTGGTGGTTTCCAAAGGTGATTGTGATGATTTGGGTGTTTGAACTGCTTTGATGGCTGTTTGTGTGTGAGGTACAGCTGTGTTTAAATGTGGAGGGGCTGTAGCCCGGATGGCAGGTTCGGCAGCATCCTTCAGACTTGCTGTGTGGGTAGCAAATTGTTTGTGCTCTGTTTACTGTTTGCTTTCATACTTAATGGCTCCAGAAATGTTGTTAGAAATAATCTTGAATAACAGATGTTTAACTAAGTGAAAACTGGATCTTTACTTGTTTTTTATATTTGAAATAAAATTATAATAGCACCTCTCATCACGATGATGGCTGATCTGTTACATGTTAAACCAGTTCCTTTACATTTAGCCAGCATTTACTTCCAACCCATTATACTTCTGCAAGCAGCAGCAACTTCCTCACTCTTTTTTAGCACTTCTCCCTCTTTACATCTCCCAGCTATTTGCTTCTAATATGAAGCACTTGGTAAATATTTTCCGCAGTGAGACATCTGTTGTGATTCCTAGTTAAGATTATATTGAGCTTTACAGGGAAGGGTGAGGGGTTTTTATAATATTTGACAGGGCTTTCCTGCCCATGTTTCTTCAGAACTGTTAGTGATCTTAGCCCTTATATTTGAGACTTAAATGGTAATGCCAGGGAGAAAAGTTTCCAATTTTATAAATGATTCTTAATTGGATAGCCATTTCTCATGGGCCCTGGGAGAAGTAATGAATAGCACTAAAATACTAGGATGTTTGTGTTGTCATAAGCTTGCAGAATACAAAACAGTCCAACGCTGCTTCCAAATATAATTCTGTCTCAGCATACTACAGAAAAGTGCACTGAGTAGCAGATCTTCTTGAACGCAGTGAGTTGACTGCTGTCCTGAAGAAATCACCTTATAACCTGATGTATTATGCTAAAGGAGTTCTGGGGAACGAACACAGCAAATGCGTTTAAGTGGAAGGAGAGAGGCGCTCAGTGCAGTCAGCACCTGGTAACTCGTGGTGTCACCGGGCCTGTCTTTCAGCTGTCTCCATAAGAAGGAAAAAAAGAAATCATACTTCTCATGGGTGTAGACACACCTCAGAGAGGTAAAGGGATTTGCCTTGTGTTATGTCAGGTCACACATTTAAGATTGAAGGGTGGGCATGGAAAGGGACTGGAACTTGAATTGTCTGACCTGCTGGCAGCAACATCTGCCGTTTGCCTCCATCCATCCACAGTGATTGTAGGGATTGTTCTGGTCAGATATTGAATCTGTGGATATCAGGAATGTTAGCTGATTTTGTGTAGTTTGATGTTTTCTTCAAAGCCTGTTCAGCTCGCTCACACTAGTGCATGCTTCTCTTTGTCAGTTCTTCTGAGTATCCCACGAAATCCCTGTCTCAGCAGGTCTTCACCTTTTTTTTTTTCAGCTGGCTTCGGGCTTCTCTGGTCATCTTTCATGCATGCCTCATCTCTGTCTGCTGCTTTCCTCCCAGCTCCTTCTGAAATCTTCAAAAAATAAGCTACTTCATGTTTATACATCGCTGGAGGATGCTGCTGCACTTTGCTTGTTTCCATTATTCCTTCAGTAGCATTAGCGCTGTGGTTTCATCCTGCTTTGCTCCCCAAAAATACAGCCCTGCATTTGCCCACAAAACCTTGCTGGGAATGAGCTGTGGTCAGGATGCACAGCATGCATGTGGTATCTGAGAGAACGGCTGGCATGAGGCTTGGAGAATAAGGAAGTGAGTAAATAATAAAGGAATTAGACTAATATAAATACCCTAATTTTTCATGTATGCCTTTTTGGGTACGTACACGTCTTAGTCTTAGCTCTAAGCAGTTTGTTTGGGTAAATACATCCGAGCATGACTAATCTGCATTTGTCTCCTTTTTCTCTCCTTTCCCAAAACATTGTACCGTTTAAAATGTTTCATTTTTCTGTCTATAAAAATATTCTTCTATGATCCAAAAACTTTTCACATTTTTCTAGAACAATTGGTGGAAGTGTTTTTATTAATCTTTTTATTAAAGTGCTCCTATCTGCAATACACAATGAAGGCAAGTGAATTGATTTTTTGAGACAGGCTGGCTTTTTATCCTTCAGAAATGATGACTCATGAGATTCATCCAGCCCTCATCTGTATTCCTCCCCCAGCTAATAAGTTAAATGTGAGTTTTATGTTTGTATTAAAAGGCAGCCTGTGCTTACCTCACCAAGGAGCTTGTTTGAACATTGAGTTCACGAGAGGAAAACTTTTTTGGCGAAGTCAAACTGTGTTTCTGGGCATTAAGGTGCTTTAAAAATATGTTCCTTTATCTTTGAGCATATTAATAGTGCATATGGAGAGTATCGGGCTGCGTGAGATACTCTGCTGATTAAAAAAACAACTTCTGTTGCCATTCTGACTGACACAGTGCTGCAAGTGGTTGTGCTGATGGAACGAAGAAGGGAGTGTGGAGGTACTTCATGTCAGTGTTGCTGCTGGTGTCCTGTGCCACAAGAAGGCT